ACCAAAGTGTTAAGCGAACCGGCCTCAATGACCATGCATATGCCGAATTCTTTTCCGGTTGAGAAGTATGCACATGAGGAAATTGAAGAAAATATGCGAAGTTTTCCCCAACGGACAGAATCCTGTAATGGAACGAAAAGTTGTGAAATCTCGTGTATGCCAGAAAATTCTAAACATCCTGAAATGTGACAGAATTGCCTTTTTTTTGAGAGCCAGCAAATTATTTTCAATTTCAGCATAACGAATTGTTAACTAATAACAAATCCGGAATAATAGCAACCAGACAGATAAATGAAAATCAAATCCGGAATAATAGCAACCAGATAGATAAATGAAAATCAAATCCGGAATAATAGCAACCAGACAGATAAATGAAAATTTCTCATTTTCTAACCAGAAAAGAAAGCTTCATTATATACTTTAAAGCTCTTTCGTAAATGTTCGTAAAAATGACCGCGTAAAATACAAACGAACAAAACTGTAACAAACCGGAATCATTTTCGAATAACCGCGTATCAAGAAATAACGAAACTCTGCCTCCGATATGAAAATCTTTTGAATCAGGTCTTAATCAATCCGTTATAGTGACAGCTTGGATTGTTACCGTATGTTTAAGTGAACGGCAAGTTGCTAATGATGCCAAAAGTATGCTTATCAGATATATCTTTCTAATTTTATAAAATTTCGAAAAAGAACGCTAACTTTGAAAAAAATGGGAATGTCGGTATAATCTTATCATTTTTAATTTATTAATTATTTTTCAAAAGTTGCAAAAAAAGCTTGAAATTTACGAACGATAATCGAAACTTACGATTATCTAAATATAACTGTATACTTGATTTCATGAAAACTTTAGGTAAGATTTCAAAATAAAACAAAGCAAAAATCGAGACATAGAAATCTGTTGGCTTTCAAATTTTCATAAAAATCGATGTTTCAAATCAAAATTTATTTATTTATTTATTTTAATGCATAATAGGATGCACTGTTGGTATTTTTATAACATTATTTGTAATACATTCGTAACATTTTGGATACATTTGTAACATTTTGGATGTATTTTATATTTTATACAAATATAAGATTCATGTTCTCTTTGCATTATTTTTTCCTTTTTTTAGATTGAAATTCCAACTTTTCCGGAACACTGGAATACAGCTAACCTCGTAAATTGGATCAATTCTAGGAACGAACCTATTAAGGTGGTTTTGTTAATTTTTTCACGTACTTCTTGTCATATTTAGTTCCAGTCGTAGTCCATCAGTTTCACTTATTACTTGTTTAATTTATCTTACCTGATAACTTTTTCCTCTATTTTCCTAAGCAGACAATAGTCTTACTATTTACTTATTTAGTATAATTTATTTCAATGTATTGTTATTTATGGGAACACTGCATTCACTTTGCTGAGTTGAAAGTTTTTAGGTTTTAAAAATATTTCAGTGGTAATTTTATTTTTCAATGGTAATTTTCAGTGATAAGTATTTCAATGATAATTTTATATGAAATGACGTTATGCGGTTACAGCTGATATATTAAGTCTCAATTTCGATCGCACATTCTGAGTTTCATAATTTTGAATTGTCGCAACTCTCGTAACATCCTTCTAATTGTTTACATATATACCTTATTATCCAAGCAACTGAAATAATAAACTATATGAGCATGCAAATTATCAGTTTGCTTTTCAGACTCTATTAGAAGCAGTTGAAGCAGAAATTGACGAGGCAGAAAGTTCACTGGTGAAGATAAGAACTGAATTTGAGCGCACCAAAAAGTATGTGCTTTCTAATTTTTTATGTTAACCCAAATGTTCATCACTTTAGGTGCTTGGTTGCCTAAGCATTGAATTAAATAATAAATGGTGGCATTATTGAATTGAATGCTGAACAATGACAATTACTGTTTTTTCTTTTCATTTTTACTTCTCATTCGAGAAAATACCTGTTGAACTGAGAAATAGTTTTTTGATGAAAAAGTTGATCTTTAATTGAAGCGACGAAAGCAATTTGGAGGAATGTGCTAGATCTTGCGCCGAACTTCGTGAGCGCCTAAAAATGGTAGTGGATGCACATGCAAAGGAACAGCTTGCCAATGAATTTGATGCAATCGCGATATATGATAAAGCGGATAGACGTGCAACCGATCTCATCAAAATTTTGATGGTGGGTGAAGAAAAATTTTTGTAAAATATTATTGTCTTGTATGGAGTAGTGCGTAAATGTTGTTTTAGGGGCAAGTGTATATATGTTGTATTAAATTTTACTGGGACTTATTTGTTCATTTAAAATATAAACGAACAGGTAAATCACATTGTAATTGACTGTGTTCGGATTGAATGAAAAAGAAACAAATTTTTATTGAATTAATTCATAAATAAGGTTGTACGAAGATAACGATTATTACAGGCTCGTAAGTTATGGAAGGAAAATGTTATTATTATTGAAAATTTGGACGGAAATGAACCAGCACCAGAAAATGTTGTTATCAATTTGCAAAAAGCATATGAATCTCTTTCTGAGGTTGTGAAATTTTTGGTTGGGTTTTCGTAATTTATCCTAATTTTCAAATTATTAATAAACATGAAATCGAAATAGTGCAAGTAATGAGGATTTTACTATCTGTGACTGGTATTTCATCTGCAGATGATTTCAGTTCCTGGATGTTCCAGAACGAGCAGATTTTCTGGAAAAAGTAAAAGATGTTTTCTTAAGTTGGTATTCGACGCGCATTGTATTAGCAATACAATCGGAAACACCGGTGGATGATCTGTTGCCGATCAAACAAAAATATGAGATGTTGCGAAGAATTGAAGGTTTTCTTTCTTTTTCATTCGAAACCTTGGGCATCGGTCTTGATATGGGTCAGTTCTCTTCTAAAGCAGTGTTACTGTGATCATTTCGGGAAAGAGAAAGTTTGGATTATTTTGGATTAATAATTGCAAACGATGCTGTCTATAAAACATGAGGAGTTCCAACTAATTTCAGATTTTAATAACGTTATAAGACATTACGTGGAAGGTGAGAATAAATTTAGTTTTCATACGACTAATAATTTATCCGATTTGTACTTGGATACCCGTGGTATCATTATTTCGAATTATAAACGGCTAATGGATGGGTAAGTTTTCCTCTAAAGGAGTGTTACTATGATCAGTATGATTTCTTAACATAATGATTATTATGGGATGAGAAATGAATTAATGTATGTGTTCACTTATTTGAGTTTGTATGGACAATCCATCATTTTGAATAGAATAAAGCTGGGGGAGAATCCATTAACGATATATTTTATAGCATAAAGAAAAATGAAACTTAGCTTTTCGAACCAAATAATTTACTCTTCAAGTGATAGCGTTTTTAAAATCGTAACTGTTATGGAAAGATGAAAGTTAAAATTCAGAAATTCTAGGAATTTCGCTTTTTTTTCAGATGGGTAGAAAAAGTTCTCGATGCTCCGGATGTTTTCTTGTCCAATACATTTAGCGAAGCTATCCTAATGCGAGAAAAAGAAATCAAGGATGCATGTACAGCTACAATTGGAATGACTTTAGAAAATGATCCATCTGGTTCGCAAACACTGAAAATGATTTTAGAATTCAGATTGGTCAGTGAATTTTTGTATCCTCCTGTTTTTCATTTCTGATTGATTTTTCAAGAATTCTACCATGCAGTTTTTGTTCGAATAGGCAATCATTTCTCTTCTATAATAATGAGCTATTTATTGGTGTTCGACAAATAAAATTTCGATTATAAAAAAACTTTGAGAACTCAGACAAATGCTTCATGAATAAATTAATTAGATATTTGGTGGAGTGCTTTCTACATATTACGAAAACTTGTTTTTATAGCTTAATCAAAGATATTTTTGAATTCTGATATATAGTGTTCAGGATTATTGCGAATTCCAGGTAGTGTCACAGTATATTTCACATCCTGATGATGACAAATCCATAGCAAAATGCATTACACAATTTGGCGAACTTCTCCTGTTCTTTACAGCCGATGAATACACGAAGCTGGCGATATCATTCCTGGCCAATTGTTCGAATATTTCACTAGTTTGTTATTGACCAACTATTTAACTATAAAACTGGATAAATAACTGGTGTTTTCCGCGACCTCAATTGACAAATGATTTTGCTATCTTTTATTAGAAATTTTTCTTTTCACTGATTTTATCCTGAAACATGTTCAAATATCGCAGAGATTAATAGGATTAATTGAAACTGCAATAGTCTTACTGATTTCCAGGATTCTACACATACATTTGCATGCTTGGAACAACTTTTTAATAGGCTATCACAGCTTATCGAGGAAAGTAATTATTTGTTGCAAATGGCCAAAGAAACATTTGGCAATATTGGAATTATTTTTTTGACTCCTGCATTTCGGGTTAGTATACAAAATATTCATGTAACGAAGTTTTTTATATGAGTACAATGTTTATCGAAGTTTATAATACGTTTGAATAATTTTGATGGGCAATATTCCATATTAGTTTTTGCATTACTATAATAATCACTATAGACAATGTATGAAAATGTAATATCGATGTTGGATAAATTCTATAAAACGCATATGAATAAGAGTAATATTAAAGACGAAGATGTTTTGCGTTTGGTGAGCATATCAGGTTTGTGTTTATCATTATAGATTTGATAAACATATCAAGTTTATATTTTTATAATGACTTTCAATGCCTTATTTTTCTAATCGTTTATCCTGAAATATTCTGTTATGTAAAAAAGAAATTTTTTTTAGTTGTACATTAACGAAAAATTTCAGAATAACTTTTGCAGGACAGCTTTTGACATGGATTGATAATGATAAGCAACGTCTGAAAGATATGTCTGAACAATTAGGAGTCACTGACACAGATCCTGCTATCAGCAGATTGTCAGAGAAGTTGTTCAACGAGATTTCAAATTTTCAAAGCAAATCGTCCGGTTTGTTCATACCTTTTTTCATTTTTATAATATGTTAAAGTCTAAGCCGCGGGGAAATCTAATTTTCGTAACAGACGGTTGCTTCTTTTTTTACAGGGATAAAGAGACCAAGTAAATGTTATTAATAGGGGAATCTTATTCATAAATGTAAAAACTAATTACGAAAGCAGTAATTAGCCGGAGCTGATTGGAATTCAGTTTTGATAATAATTAATTTACAATCATTTATGCAGGATTCCAGGATATTTATAGTTTCGCAAAATATTAAATTTTATTTGTAGCTAAAGGAGAATGTGATATTACCTTGGTAAAAGCGCGTGCAGAAGTCCGGAAAATGAACAAGCGATTTATTGCGCGTACTGTTGAAGTGCTTTCATGCACCCTCGTTACAGATATGGAAAGTGGCTTGAGAAACATTGTAAGTTAACTGTTTATTGCTTCTGACTGCATACTTAACACATCCTGTTATAATCAATGTTGGCAATAATGTTTTTCCGAAATTAAGTTCCGGAAGCATAAATCATCATGGTATTTTCCCATTTCAATCATTCCACTTTTTTGATTGCTGTCATTTGTAGAACATTGTGTTATAGATATCGGATAAAAGTACTGAGAATGTGAAAATGCAAGAAAGTGTACCATCATTTGGAACCTCACCCAACGAATTCGTAACAGCAGCTGGTGTGGCACTCCTTTCCTTGGCTCATCAGTTGTCTGCCTATTCACAGGATAGCAATATGGCTTCAGCTATTATGTTTGCTGCAAAATTAGAAACTATAGGTAGATTATTTGACGAAACTGCAGTAAAAGAAATATTTGCGCAGAACTTGGGTGAGGATGCTATTAAAGGAAGAAATATCCTCCTGAACTATTTAACGTACACTCATAGCATATCTTTGATTGAATACCATAAATGGTCAGCTGAATGAAGCCAGACATCAATATTCAACAAACTGTTTCATTGAAAAAATTAGATTAGAATATGGGTTAAATAGTTTGATGGACATTTCTTCCTTTTAATGCCGTAATTACCACTATACGATCGAGCTATTATGTTCCATTCACTTACGGATCGCACTTCTCGACACACCTCCTAATATTCGTGATACTTCCTTGAATATCGTGCGATATATATCTATCTGCACTATCAGGTCGTTGTCGGTGTCGCATTAGATATCTGAAAGCCATCGTTGACTTTTCCTATGAAAATCGGGGTGGTACTGTTATTTTTTTTCCTTAATTGGACTGTAAGTAAAATTTTTATTTTTTAAAGTAAAATTTTTATGAAATGGTAAAATTAAAGTAAAATTAAGCAAAATTTTTGGAAATTTATATTATTGCACTTTTTTTTAGACGATATTCCATCATGGTGGATTGGTAAATGTGCAGTTGTTGTGCAAGAATGCTTTGTTGATACAGTTGGTGATATTGATGAATATTCAAGTTCGCTATGTCGACAACTTTCAGTTGATTATAGTTAGCAGCTTTTTTGTTTTTTGCTTTTGTTTAGGATTTCATTTATCCAACATAGAGTATCAAGCTGCGAAATTGAAGGAATATGACTTATTGAAAGGCATTGAATATGCTGCCACATCCTGTGGTTGCAACATTATCAGCTAATGATGTATTTTGTTGATTACCGATCATTCCTGGTAAATGCTGGGATTGAGAGATTTTCATCGAATTTCTGAATTTGTGATGTTTTATATTTTTCGTCCTTTTCGAAAGTTGAGAATGAAATATGTTGTAATTCGTAGTATGCTAATTTCTCAGAGGAATTTTCTTGCACTCCTTAGACATGTATTTAGGAATGTCCACGTCTTCGATCAAAAACACAATAATAACTCATGTGTATACATTTTTTAGATAAGCTACGGCAAGAATGGTGAATTAGATAGAAGAAATAGGCGAGTATATAAAAGCATATAGAATTTGCACTTTGGTAGTTTGGAATAGTAATAGAAGTTTCACTGTCAAAATCAAAGTTTTCGTTTTGCAGCATATTTAGCTGATGTATTCGAGGATTTGGGGACGACAAAGATACCGGATTTTGTTAATATGCGACAAATGTTCGTTAATGCTGGATATCTTGAATAAGATTATGCTCATTTTCTCTATTGAGACATTGCCCTGGAGAATAATTTTCTAAGTATTTCTGTATTTTATCATTTCTAGAAAAAATCTGTAATGATTTTTTTTCTTTTAATCTATTGCTTTGAATGGCTGATTGATCAATGTGCAGTTGTTATCAATAATATTGATTGATCAATGTTGGTAATTTACTAGTCGTCCTATCAAATTTTCTTTCGTTGTCAATAGGATGAACGAAAATAACATCTTACCATATTGTTCAATGAAGCAATTATAATTGAAATATGTACTTCCTTTGTAATTTTATGTTTGCTACTTCATCTTTGGGATTTATTTATTATCAATTTTCATGTTTATTATTTTCATTTCTTCTTTTTTTCTTTTTCTTGGAAAAGAATTCAGGATTTAATAAAACATAGTGGTCTTTTTGGTTTGTTGTTTCATTTTGCCAAAGATTATTGTAACGGCAAGTTCTATATGAGTTTATTGTTAGAATGTTTCAATTGTTTATTTTAGATTTGTAAATTTACTTCGATATTTGAAATTTTTGAAATTACTATACAATCAACCAAATTTGTTGAGGTTTTTTTATATAAGGATTTTTTTTTTTTAGAGGAAAGAAGAAGGATTTAGAAGATTCATTATTGCAGAAGTTGAATTTGAGAGGATGAAGCATATCATCCTTATCAATAATATTGATTGATTGCAAATAACCTTAATTAGGCCACGACATTTGGTACACTGATGTTAAAGCTTAAAATAAATTTTGATGTCAATTAAGGTAAAATTAAGCTATGACATTTGCATAATTTTTTTTTTTCTTTTTGCATCGTACGAAAATAGCAAATGCCACTGTCCAATCATTTAATTAACGATAATTAGAATTTGAATAACATTGTAACATTTGTTACAGGAAATAAGGCGTAGTGTATGATGAGTTAATAGGTATTGAGCTAAAATATCACTATATTTCATTTAGAATTTTCATTTGTAAATTCATGAAGTTGATAATTATCATTAAATTAATGAAATCAATAATGAGTTTTCCTAAATCGTTCTTTTTCTTTTTTTTTTTAAAGGAATATTCTGATAAATTATAAAAATTGTCTTAATCGTATCCATATCAACAGTAAGTAATAGCGCAATATAAAGTAGGGGAGTCATTCGTTCTTATTTGTATTTTTACATTATTGACAAATTATCTTCCTTTTCTTGTAAACAAAAATGTAATCTAATCTAACGACAGGTTAATAACAGGTATGTATAATCCATGCATTTCATATAGAAACGATTCTTAAAATCCGATTTACTTTTTTGTAGAAGGTTGAAAAAGATTTTTAACAGTTAAAATTCAAATTTTTATCATAATAAATGACTTTTTTTAAGTTGTCAACCATTCAAAGATAGATGATAAGTGCAACCGATTGTCAATATAGGTGTAGGATAGATAATGATGATGATAATGATGATGATGATGATGATGGTGATAATGATGATAACAATGATCGTCTTGGTCCAAATAAATTATAAATAAATGTAACTTGATCGTTGGTCCTTTGATAGGGTCCACTTAAGATATTGATTTCCACGATGGACAAATATATACTGCGCATAGAAGATGTATAAGCAGAAAGACAGACACGCAGACAGACAGACAGACGAACGGACACACATATACATAGATGCTCATAAAATGATTTCGCAGTAGAAAGGTAGCACCACAGCTGTTTATGCTTTTCCATACATAATATCCAAATGGATAGAAAATGATCTCTCCCCGCCCTATCCTTCCTTCATCATCCTACTCCCCCGCTTCTCCTCATTATATCCACTTTTTTTTTTTTTTTTGGCGATTTGCCATTGATTGCTTAAAATGATTTTAGTCATCGAACTTAAATAATATTAGAATTTAAAATTGGAATTTTTATTTATATTTGAAATTATTTTATTATATTTTATATTAATATATGCTTAATTTTGTTAAAGATTTTGATATCATATCTTTAGTATTAAATTGATGCTTTTTGTAAGTTTTATTTAGTGTAAATTAGTAGATAAATGAAGAAAAAGGTTATCATTGATAATAATCATAATATTTGATTAGTTTAATTTGATTTTTCTCTTTATGCTTTATTAATCTCATCGTTGTTTTCGCTAATAATTTATTTATTACGTAAGACATGGATTTAGTCTTATGTCTTAGTGTATAACGTAGTGGATATGTGTTACGTCAAAGATCACGTGAAAGATTTTCGGATGTAGCGGATGTATGTTGTTACGTCAAAGGTCACGTGAAAAACTTTCGGATGTAGCGGATGTGTGTCACATTGCTAATGTAGCGGAGTGTAACACGTCGATGATCTTATGGAAAGACTTTCTGATATAACGGATATGTATCATGTTGAAGATTTCATGAAAAGCTTCTTACCGTATTGTTTAGTGAAACTTTCTGCTGTAGCAAAGATGTCAATCATTTTTATGGGAACTTTTTAATATCACGATAATTTAATAATATCAAGCAGTAGTTTTAGGATTTGTTGTTTGTACTGCTTGAATCGCAAATGTAAGGTAGAAACTAAAAATTACTGGGATGTATTCCTTCATTATTTATTGTTGGATTCTTTTTTTCATCTTCTATTCAATTTTTTTTTTACCGTATTCTATGAATTCTAAATCAGTGAATTTTGAAATTTAATGAAAAGGAATGGAATGCAGTTTTTCTTACCTTTTCACATCTTTCGAATCAATTGTTTATTTAAGAATTTTTCTTTTTTGCTCCACAATAAGTTTAACCTTTTACTTTTTAACATTATTTGTTTAGCACTGTTATTCGTTGATTAAATAAGTTTCATCAGTTTTGATTCCTTCCAATATTACTTTTAATACATACTGAATTACTACTATTATTTTATTAAGTAATTTAATTTAGTCGAGTTATAATTTATTCATCATTGCAAAGAGATATTGTTGTAATTATTCATGTGTTAATATTCAGATTTTGTATTGTATAATTTGCTTTTTTAAATCTGTCATTTTATTTCAGAATTTTTTGTATTTATGTTCACTTTGTATCAGCATATCGACATTGTTAATGCGTAATTACGATGGCACAGAATATGTATCGAGTTGGAGGTAAAGTTTTAAATTCTGGAATAAAATTCATGGGTCAATGTTATTATTTTCTTCGTCTTCTATTGTTTATCTCATGTTAATTATTCAAGGTTTGCTTACTCGAAATGATTAAATAATTAATGACGAGTGACTGATCCTTGATTTCAACTTTTTTTTTTCTTTTGATATATTCAGTTATTCTTTTAGACTTTGTGTACTTTGAAATTTCGAGTGCAGCTCCGTATCAAGTGCGAAAAATTGAAGAATTAAATAAGGTAAGAAATATATTTACATCTTATGAATCTTGTGAATAAGGTAAGGAAAGTACTTACATATGATCAAGGTAAGAAAAATGTTTACTTACTTATTTACATAACTGCCTAATAATTTTTTTGGCTTATCTTACATGTTTGTCTCAAGAAACAGTGGAAAGTAAATGACTGTGTAACAGTTCCTGTTTTTTATTCCTCCATGTCATCTTTCATTTTTCACCTATGTCGGAGGATAACTTTTTTTCCTAATTAATGTTTGCGATTTTCTGGTGATATATATTACTCTTGCTGGAGAATATCATATTTTCAAATATTTATCGCAGTATATTTCAAATTTGAACGAAATTTCAGACACCATCAGGAAATGTGGAAGCGAAAGTGTCATGCTTCTGTCGACGGCGCGACTTACCTACATCTTTGCTTAAAGTAGCTGATCGTGCAGAAAGAGTTGGTTAGTAATTAGACTGGGTGTTACATGTTGATGTGGAAACGTAACGCGTGATATTTGGAATGTTTATTGTAGTTAGAATGCAGTGAAAAATTTTTTTTAAGTTCGAAAGCAAGTAAAAAAGAATTGTGAAAATATACGAGTGAAAATATACGAGAAGCAGCATATCACTTTTTCTCAGTTTTTTTTTTTTAGACAAAGTGATAAATACACGACGACGTCTTGTTGTTACGCCATCTGCTCCATCGGGAGATGCAAGTGATGAATCGTCCGATGGAATGAAAAAAGGTGAAAAGTCTTAATCATTAGTCTCAATCAACTCTCTTAGACTTTTTACTGAATCCAAGTAGCTGAAGAAAGAGAACAGTTGATGTAAATTCTATGTTTTGGGATTAGAAGTTATTATAATATTGTGAAAGTGTGAGGCATATTCTGGAAATTTTCGAGTAAATACCATCAACAGCCTGATTAGCGGTATATAGATGGAAATATTTGACTGGTTTCGGACATAAATTTACTATCGTCTGGATATATAGTGAGAAATAAGAGATTTATTCTCTTGAGTTAACAAATTTTTCATGTAGTTATGATCGGAAATGCTTCAATAGACAAAATTTTTGATTTCAATATTTGGTTATTTGAAATTAATATGACAGCAGTGTTAGTTTTGTGCTATATAGCAATGGTAACTAATTCGTACAGATGATGAAAGTTCACCTGAAAATGGTCAACAAAGCAATCAGGAAGCGACAACTGATATTCGTGAAGAGAGCAATTCACCAAAGCCTATGTGTGTAGATACCGGCGATGATGAGGAAGTTGAGTCTGAAAATAAAGGTAATTTTATTCGCTTGCAGTTGAAAACGGTGTATTATAATTGGTGATTTACTGATTCTCAGTGCACATCCGGAAGCATGGCATCATGTTGTGAATCAATCATTTTGCTTCCCGAAAATGAGAATGTTGTTGATTTTATATTCTTAGATGTCAAAGAGGACGATGAAAAGGATAAAGACAGTGAAAAGTCGAAGGAAGGTGGTTACGGTTTTGCGGGCCTTCCAAAAGGAGCTGAAAATTTAACACCGAAAGAAAGACATGTATTAAGGTAAGTTATACGTAACGGAGAATTGAATTGCAAATTTAAAAACTTGTCGAAATTCGGTGAGATTTCTGGTGTCTTGTGATGGCATATCAAGGTGATATTGCATGAAATAATGATTTGTTAAAATTTTTTGCTTCTGGAAAGTTGGAATCCACTGATTCTTACTTCTTAACGACAAAAATCGTTTTTTATTTCCACGACAAAAAACGACAAAAATCGTTTTTTATTTCCAGACAGCATGAACTCTATCTTACTCGACAAATTGAAGCACTTCCAGCAACACATATTCGTGGCAAGTGCAACGTAACATTGCTGAGTGAAGTTGAAACGCCGGACATGTACTTAGATCGTGACGTATGTTCTGAGAATTTTTGAAAAGATGAAAAGTTACCGTTTCTGCTGAAACGATCTGAAGAAAGGAGATATTGGCCTTTCCTTCAGTATGCAAAATAGATTTTAAAGGAATCAATTTCTAGGATGCTTTTTTTATTCGCTGGTATTTGACCCAACTGCAATGACATTGCTGGCTGATAAAGGTGAAATAAGAGTTGGTGAAAAGTATCAGTGTGAGGTGCCTGAAGATGTGGCGCCAGATGCTATGGATGAAAACAAAGAAAATGGGTAAATTTGAATACACTTTTTTCTCTATCGTAAGTTCGATTATAGTTTTTCTGATTATTTTGACAGCCTTGTAGATTATGCTATCCCCGACACCATCATCGTTATGTGATATAATCGAATATTTTGAATGATCGAGATTCATTTCAGTTTCAGGCAATCTTCAAAAAATATCAAGACTGAAAAGAAGGTACATTTCGGGATATACATTCTCGAAAAATCCTAAAGATCGAACTTTTTTGTATTTACTGTAATCATAGTTCAGAAACTTGGTAATTGCCGAAGATGAAGATGATGAAGAAACAGTCGTAACAACTTCGAAACGTGAATTCCTGGTTTATCATCCGCATCACAATTTAACAGATCGCGATATAGATCAATTCTTGATTGTTGCAAGGTATTATTTATTGATGTAGTAGACATTAACTTGAGGACTTCCAGAATTACATGTATATCTTTATCTTATTTTTTCGATGCTGTTATCATTTTTATAATATCCAGGGCGGTTGGAACATTTTCACGTGCGTTGGACACGTCATCTTCGATGAAATTGCC